TCACAACCTCAGTGTTGAAAGCTTTTGATCACTGTAGAATAGTGTGTACAAGTTTGGGTGGTTTCTGTCAAGTGCAGTAGAAGAAGTTACAGATAATTTTTTTTTTTACTAATGACAATAAAGCAAGCAATACATAAAAGTGAGGCGAAAGATACCAAAGGGACATTCAAACTCAAGTCGAAAATAAACTGACAACGCCATAGCTAAAAAAGAAAAAGACCAACAGTACACAAAACACAACATAGAAAAATAAAGACTGAACAACACATACCCCACCAAAAACTCGGGGTGATCACAGGTGCTCCAGAAGGGTAAGCAGATCCTGCTCAACATGTGGCGCCTGTCGTGTTGCTCATGTTAGTACAAACCAGGTAATAAGTCTAATTCAGTAAGTCACATTCGGGGAAAAAGGGATGGGATTGTAGTTACGACATTTGGAACATATCCGCTATCATCTGTGAAATGGATATTCCATGATGGTCAACCAACTCATGATGGCATCCGTAAAATTAACGAATGGATGATTTCAACTTCACCACTTGGAACTCTTGGTTTAATAGCTTCCTTGTGAGCAGCAACCCTCAATCAAGGAAATACAAGCCCTGGAATATCATATCAACTGAGAGATATATACTTTGTAAGCAGGTGCTGCTGGAATGTTGCTACATAGAAATGGAAAGTTCACAATTGGGAAGCTGAAATCATCTCTTTTGTCGTAAAGTTTTGTTTTCAACCGACTCTCATTGTCAATTTCTAAATGTAAGTCAAGATATGAGGCAGACTAACTGTATCTGTTGTATCCTTTATCTCAATGCAAAATGAAAAACACTGACCCTGCAATGTGTAGACAACAGAGAAAAATTACTGAACTAAAAGACTGTCAGAGTTTTATTACCTGAGAACTATTGACCCCTCTCTTGTCACAAATACTGGTACTTAATTTACACAGGAATCTTTCCTTCTAGATTCAATTTCAATTAGTAAAATGTATTAAAGAAAAGGTTGGAAGGAAATTAAGATAATAAGAAAAGCCTCTTTTGGACATAGTGGCTATATTCAATATCTGAAAGGAACAAGACTGATGAACACTTGTACAATCAACTTTAGGTCAAATTACAGTATATGAATGACGTAAAAGATTTTGTTCAAGATTTCAGGTTGTGAAACTTCAAAATGGAAAAATAATTCAATGATCTCTTTCCAGAAATAATACTAAATGAATTTATTTTAACAAGATGCACACTGTGGATTCATAAATATTTGTGGGATACCAATTTTTGTGAATTTATGGGTATAGGAAAACCACAAATTTAAATGTTCAATAAAGTATACATTTTCTATAGGCTTGTATGAAGATTTTGCCAACTCCACAAATTCAAACATTACGAAAATAGATGTATTCCACAACCCACAATATTAGTACCATATAGAATAAGTGAATTAACAGTAATTGTATAATGCAAAAATAATTAGTGAAAAAAAGAGTTCTTAAAATTATCTTCAAATCATTATTTTACAATTACCAATCCACAGATTATTTTACAAAGAATGATAAGTTTTTGTTAATTATAAAATAATCATAGGGGCTTTGATGTTATCAATATATGTATACAAATAAGTAGATGTAGTATAATTCTATAACTATGTTTGTAGTAAAAAACGTTACGTTTTCAAGCTTTACGACATTATGTCAAAAATACCATGTGCAAATGGATTGTAGATGCATTAAAAATGGTACTGTAAATTCTGCAATTTTTGTGATGTTTTAATCATTGTGAAAATTGCAATGGGATAGTTTTCACAAAAGTAAAAATGTGCATTTCAAAGTTTTATTACATTCAGGGTTCTCACTAAGTTAGTCCATGAGTCCTGGACTCATGAAAACCTTTCTGGACTCAAAATTTTCAAAAAGTGCACGAGTCCAAAGAAACATGAAGATTGTAAAATGTTGTATCAACTGAGCATTACAATCATCATTCAATAGCAAAAGTTAAAAAATTATCTAAATTTGATGTTATTTCCTTACTCTGTTTTGTCATGGAGACTAAATGATAAATCATACAGCAATAAAATATCTTCTTCTCACTGCTGAACTTGCCATGGCCAAAAATGGTGAATATTTGGCCTTGCTGTCATATAACTTTCGAGTATGATTTTCCTACTCAGACTTGGAAATCAACCAATCAAAACACTTGCTTTGGTGTTCCGAGCACAAATTTTGTACTCCGAGTACTAAGTAAAGTTTTATGACCGAGAGCCCTGGAATGGCCTTCTTAAATCATTAGTAAGAGTCCTGGCATTATTTGTTTCCTGCATTTATTGAAGTCGCAATGATTAATCTTGTAATTTTGTTCATTGTTAAAAAAATAAATGCATGCAAAAATTTCTCATTTTTACTCAAATTTGAAAAAAAAAAGATAAAAAGACAGATCAGCAAACAGGATATTAACCAGATTTAACAACCCCATCGTCCCACAGTACTTGAAAACTGATAACATGAATATCTCTGCTATACAAGCTGTTCTTCGAGTGCTTCAACCTTGACACACTTGACTCACAACATTCAATAATGTTTGAAAATTAGTTTTATATTGATTCATGCAGGTTTCAATCAGATATCAGTTACCTGTTTCTTAAAATTGAATCAAATGAAAATTATTTAAAATTAACTAGTTAACATTCTTTAAATTTTTTAATGAAGAATTCCATTCAGTTTGGCAATACTTCCTTTTGAACACCCTTCATGTATGTCTATGCCTATTCTTCCAACAGAGAAAATAAAATGCTTCGCTGAGCGCAGCCTGATACGACCGCAGAGGTCGAACCCTGAACAGTTGGGGCAAATTTGGACACAATATTCAAGCTTGATACTGTCTGAATTTGGATTGTGATCAAATTTTTGACATAATATAGGTTTCTGACACAAAATAATGGTGGTCAAAGATCTTACAAATCTATTGCGCAATACTGTGCAAATGAAGATTTCTTCTTGAAACTTTTCAAAAATTCGAAATTTGAAAAATTTTGAAAAAAATATGAATCCCCTAAAAAAATCCCCCCCCCCCAACTTTTTGAAACCCCCCTTGAAGCAATAACCCCAAAACTCAATCCAAGCATTGCCTTTGTAGTATGGAACCTTGTAGTACAATTTCAGAGAGATCCATACACTTAAACACAAGTTATTGTCTGGAAACTAGAAAAATGCTTGTTTTTGGCCCTTTTTTGGCCCCTAATTACTATATGTTTGGGGCAATTAACCCCAAACTCAATCCCAGCCTTCCCTTTGTGATATGGAACCTTGTGGTACAATTTCAGAGAGATCCATACACTTACATACAAGTTATTGTCTGGAAACTAGAAAAATGCTTGGTTTTGGCCCTTAATTCCTAAACTGTTGGCCCCATAACCCTCAAAATGAATCCCAACCTTCTACTTGTGGTATTAAACATTATGGTACAATTTCAGAGCAATCAAAATACTTATACATAAGTTATTATCCTGAAACAAGAAAAATGCTTGTTTTGGGCCCCTTTTGGGCCCCTAAATTCTTAACGGTTGGGACCATCATCCCCAAAATCAATCCCAACCTTCCTTTTGTGGTATTGAACCTTCTTAAAATATTTCATAGAGATCCATTCACTTAAATTAACGTTATTGTCCGTAAACCAATGTGTCTTGGGATGACGACAACGACATCATACCATTATACGATCCCAAAATTTTTTTTGCGGTCGTATAAAAAGAGGAGTTCAAAAAGAAATCTTTTCTTAATTTTGATATAAAAAATTTCATAAGAAAGCAACAGACAGCTTAACCTTCTGTTTGACCCATTTTGAGGGAGGCAAGTGGTTATGACGGTCATGTTTATTAAAAATTCTGTTAGAAAATGTTAGCAATAACTGATACCTTCATGACAATACCAATAGGCACATTCTGAATTCATCAAAATTTTTGTAATATCAAATTTAATTTTTTTTTTCATTTTTCTATTATGAAATTCCCAAATTTTGTAATGCTGTGTCATTTAGTTCTATCTAAGTTATTGGAAAACAAGGTTTGAAAATAAACTTTAAAAGAATGTTTTTGAACCATAGTCTCGACTTTAAATCCTTGAAAAAAGTTTAATAAACTGGACACAAGAAGTTATTTATTATTATTCTTTATTAATAAGCTCTTTTTTTTCAATATATGCCTTTTCCTTGCCCTTTGACCTAGCCTCTATCCTTGATTTTGATGGTGATGGATGGCTGTTTAATGTCCAGTGGCAAATTAATTGCATTCTCAGGACAAATCCTTGATTTTAAAGAAGGTCTCATGTTTTCCTAATTAAGGATTGATTATAACACCTTAATTAATATAATGGAATATAGGATGTTAAATGATGTTAAGGGCTCTATATTGCCTTCAAGCTTTTCCTACAACAAATTATTTTGACCTTTGACCCTCTCAAATGGGAACCACAAATGAATTGCAAAAGGAAAGCTTTATGTTTCCTATAAGATTTGTTCCTATCACTATCAGGTAACCATGATCTTTGAACTCTGACCTTGACAATAAAAATATGTATGTTCTTTACATGTACAAGAATTTTTTTCATCTTCATGTAACAAACAACTCTGAGTACTATTTCAAGGTAATGTTTAAAAATATTCAAGGTACATAAATCATTGTAATATCATGCTATGCAATCAGAAATCCAATTCCTGGTACAAGGGGAGAAAACTGCAAATATACTTTGGTTGAAAAATGTAATGGGAGGTCACTCTTTGGGGAAAATACTCTACAAACATCCTAGATCAATATACAGCAAATCTATTCACATTGGCCATTTGATACCTTTTTCTCTAATTTTATTCCAATATATTACATTTTTATCACGGAAATCCAGAACAACTTAGCCAATATCAATTACAAGCGAGGAAATATGATTGGGAAAAAATCACTTAACCATCTCAATAGTAATTTCTGAGATTGAATCTTTCTATATCAATATATTACAGGTCACAGAAACAAAGATAGCAGCACAAAAGTGTTTCATTGATAGATACTGTTAATTACAAAAACACAGCAGAATTTTTTCTTCTTCAATAAACCATGCAAAGTTTGATTGGAAAAGGTAAAAAACAATGAAACATTTGGATACCAACTTAATTCTGGACATAACTTACTTAAAACTCAACAGAATTATAATATATACTTAAAACAGAATGGAATTATCGTATAAATTTTGAAAAATGCAGAAGGAACAGAAAAATGGAAAAGTTTACATGAACTACCTGTGAGGGAGCTCAGCATATAAAAAAAAAGAAAAAGAAAATTATGTTTTAGTGTTCAAGTTCTATAAATATCAATGGATATACTATTTTCTATAGAGAATAAACACCAGAGGAATCAAGTTACTATTATAGCCAATATGTAACTCTGGAGAATAGTAAAATAATGATATTGGATCATAAAACTAAAGCCATTTCATCATAAACCTATAATCACAGGAAACACATTGCCTGATTGTCTAATACCACCTGATAGTCTATGTGAACTGATTCATAAAGGTTAATGGAACCGTGTGCAGGAAATATACAGATATATATGGATTAATCCTGTATTTACGTAATCTACTATCGTCATAACCGATTTAAAACTACCTACAGAAATGTAACATCTATGAAATGGTGTAAAATACAAGGTAGTACCTGAAAAATCAATGATGGATTGTTTTGCTTTAGTTTATCATCTGCTAGGATATAATTAATTTGTACATAATCAAAGACATTTAAACGTAATCGATTTTCATGATTTTTATGTTCATTCCATTGATGAATTTAGTACTGACACAAATTCTAAGCAAAAATCAATAGCAGATTAAAGAAACACAGATTTTTATAAATGGGATGTTTTGATATGCCCAGGATCTCAGGCATGCCTTATTTATTTCTTGCATCACACATTTTAATGGTGCTTGTCAATAAAATGAATGCCATGACCATTACAGAGACCATTATTTCCATTGTTGACATTAAAACCGACTCGTACACTCCAACACAATCCTCTCTGACCAGAATAATCCACAGAAATTCAATCAATCCAAATACAACATTCCAGCCTTATCCTTATTCCATTTTTTCCGATTTGAATGGAACGTTCCATTTTGACATCAGCCCACCTTCAATCAATGATTTGCTGGTAAATTCCAATCAGACTGTTAACTTCAGCTGCAATGTCGACCATCAATTTCCTAATGTGCTAAATGACAGTATTGGGAATAGGAATCTAATACTGAATAATGACCATCTAAATACCTCACTGCTTGTCACCGTCACATCTTCAGACCACAATGTGGCTAGTATTGTCTCCTATCGCATGGTACAGGGACGGAAACGACTCGTACGCACACCAATACTACAGGAAACAATATCTATGCAAGTAGAATTGAATAATGACCATAACTTTACAATAGAGGCGATGAAAATTGGCTATGTGACATTTTTACTGACACTTTTAGAATCTGAGAGCATTGACATGGCTAAGGCGGGCTATTCTAAACAATTGTCCTCCACAGAATATAATGTGCAAGTTGTACGAGCAGAAAAATTAGCAGATTTTGTTTTTGACTGCAGTGCTGCTGCCGTAGCTATTCTGATTAGTTTTGGCATAGGATGTGTGACAGATACAGATAGTATTAAAAAACAGCTAAAATATCCTGTGTCACTTCTAATAGGATTTTGTTGCCAGTTCTTACTTATGCCTGTGGTAAGTTATTGTTTTTCATAATTTGTTTACATAGTTTTGAAAGATTATGTAAAGGAAAATAGAACTAATTTAGTAAAAGGAATGAATGTAAATGCCGTGTTTTATTTCAACTTGTTATCAACTGACATATTTCATATTTCATTTTATTGATGAAATTTAGTTCTTCTTGAATAAAATTGTGGGAGAAATGTCAATTATTTGACAGCAATCCAACAATAAAGGCTAAAAAATACATTCACAGGTCTTTTTTATATTTGTTTTTAGAGAATACTTATAAAAACACCAGTATATTATATTGAAGTATATAAAACATACAGAAAAATGTATATCATTATTCATGGGATAACAATTATTGTAGATTTTCTTTGGTTGGGAAATATATCTATATGCCACAAATATATACACTCATCAAAATACAAATTTTAGGTTATTTTATTAGGAGCAAATGATAAACTCTCAAAATGGCACTTTTTCTCAAACCCATAAATGTGATACCATAAAGCAGACCATTATTTTTTTCTGGGCTCTTTGATAACAATATATAAGGTTTATGATTTGCTCATTGAGGAGGATTGTACAGCGACCTTTAATAATTTGCATTCTCATCCTTTGGTCACTGGTGGTTAGATGGCAATCTTACCACATCTCCTTAATTTTTTTCCCAATCATTGAAAATAAATGATTCATCAGTATGCTTAAAATATGCAAAGTGTAACTATTTCAACCTTATCTATGTTTTTACAAGAATGAAAAAAAAAATTTTCTTTTTTCAGCTTGCCTTTGGTATTGCTAAAATACTAAATCTGGAGAGAAATGTACAATTTGGATTGTTATGTGTGGCATGTGTACCAGGTGGTGGGTTTGGCCATGTTGCTGTGATAGTTAGTAAATCTGATCTTCCACTCAGCGTCACAATGAATCTCATAAACATTGTAGCCATGCTTGGTAAGTTAACTTACATTACAATGAATCTGACAAGCATTGTAGCTATGCTTGGTAAGTTAAGGGTGGCAATTAATCTAATATAAACAATCATAGCTATGCTTGTTAAGTTAACTTAGTTCTAATGAGGGTCATAACCATCATAGCCATGCTTGGTAAGTTAACTTAGTTCCAATGAGGGTCATAACCATCATAGCCATGCTTGGTAAGTTAACTTACAAATGTAGTCCCAATGAGGGTCATAACCATCATAGCCATGCATGGTAAGTTAACTTACAAATGTAGTCCCAATGAGGGTCATAACCATCATAGCCATACTTGGTAAGTCAACTTAGTTCCAATGAGGGTCATAACCATCATAGCCATGCTTGGTAAGTTAACTTAGTTCCAATGAAGGTCATAACCATCACAGCCATACTTGGTAAGTTAACTTAGTTCCAACGAGGGTTATAACCATCATAGCCATGCTTGGTAAGTTAACTAATTTCCAATGAGGGTCATAGCCATCATAGCCATACTTGGTAAGTTAACTTAGTCCCAATGAGGGTCATAACCATCATAGCCATGCTTTGTAAGTTAACTTAGTCCTAATGAGGGTCATAGCCATCATAGCCATACTTGGTAAGTTAACTTAGTCCCAATGAGGGTCATAACCATCATAGCACTGCTTTGTAAGTTAACTTAGTCCTAATGAGGGTCATAGCCATCATAGCCATACTTGGTAAGTTAACTTAGTTCCAATGAGGGTCATAACCATCATAGCCATGCTTGGTAAGTTAACTTAGTCCCAATGAGGGTCATAACCATCATAGCCATGCTTTGTAAGTAAACTTAATCCCAATGAGGGTCATAGCAATCATAGACATGCTTGGGTAAGTTAACTTAGTCCAAGTGAGGGTCATAGCCATCATAGCCATGTTTGGATAAGTTAACTTAGTCCAAATGAGGGTCATTACCATCATCGCCATACTTAGTCCCAAGGAGACTTATAACCATCGCAGCCATGACTTAGTCCAAATGAGGTTCATAACCATTATAGCCATACTTGTCCCAAAGAGACTAATAACCATCATAGCCATGCTTGGAAAGATATATAAGTCCCAATGAATGTCCTACCCATCATAGCTATGCTTGGTGAGTTTTGAGTTACATTATGAATCTCATAACCATCATAGCTATGCTTGGTGAGTTTTGAGTTACATTATGAATCTCATAACCATCATAGCTATGCTGGGTAAATTATTATTCCAACAAATGTACTACCTGTCATAGCTATGATTGGTGATTTATGAGTTACAATGAACCTCATAACCATCATAACCATGCTTGGGAAGTTATGAGTGGCTATGAATCTATAAAAATTGCATTGTAGAACTATGCGGAGTACAACAGACCATATTATGGCCAAAATTAAACACAAATTGACAAACAAGGTACACAAAACATTTACACAGAAAGCTAAGATTGAGCAATATGATCCATCTAAACAATAGGAGTTTGCTATAGGTCTTAGTAAGCAAATCTTTCAATGTCAAGTAAGGATAGTAAATAAATCATTAATTATCTCTCTGACCATGCTAGACTGTATATTTAATACCCATACAGGGCCATACTGCACTGTGTGATTCCCCTGGTAATTTTTTAATTATATCTTACAAATGAAATGAAATATTTACAGGTAAGTAAATAGGAACATACCATTTTTTCAAAGGAGTTTTTCTTGTTTCTAAAGATTCTCTCATTCAATAATAATAGTTTCAAGGAAGTTGAAATGCATAGTTCCAGTATAGAAGATATTATTTCCACAATGATTTTCATGTTCAAGATGTTATTCATCATTTCAAAATCACTGATGACTTAAAAAAAAAACTTTTTAGAGACAGCTTCCTGACATACTTAGTCATGACTTGCTCAGTCGTGCTTTCACAATCTCATTAAAAAATTTACGCCCTAAAATGGATTTTAATCAGATTGAGTGCTTTCAGAGCAGTAGGTAAAGGTGATAATTTTTTACATTAAGTTACCACGTCTGCAATCTATATTGTAAAGAATTGCACAGTACTGTGGATTCATTATTGTTCCTGGGATACCAATTTTCGTGGATTTCGTGGGTACAGATAAATCACGAATTTAAATGTTCAACGAATTTCAAATTTTGTATAGGCTCATATGCAGACTTTGGCAAAACAACGAAATCAAATATCCACGAAATTGTAAGTTTCCCTCAATCCACGAACATTGGTATCCACGAAAATAAATGAATCCACAGTATCTCTCATTCCCAAAAGCTTCAGTGATAATAGTTTCATTAACTGAGCACTTATGTGTGTATAGAAAATATACCATACAAAATGAACACTTTTTGAGAAATTCACAGTTCGTCTACATGTAGATCTGACCAACTCATCAGGTATAGAGTATTATGGAAAACATTTCGTTTAAAGGCAACCTGTAACCTTTCATCGTACATGGAATTCATGAAGAAAACAAAATGAGATATGAAGTGCAACTGTGACTTTCATTTTTCAAAATTTATATAACAGAAGATATAATTATAGATATAGATACATTTAATTCATTGAATATATAATTTCTATGTCACTGATTAAAGTTGTTTGAAAAAACACTCTTTTAAAATGTAATTATATTACAAAATTCTGTATTTCCTCATTGAATTAATAATATAATACTGTAAATTCATATTTTTTTTGTGATGTTTGTAGTATGATTGCAAAAAAATACTACTGGATAGGTTTCACAAAAATATAAAGTTGCATTAACATTTGATAGTATTATTTCTTTGCAACTTTTCCTAATTCTGGCATTTTTGTCCAAAGCTCAGCATTTGCAATAATAAATGCATGCAAAATTTTCTGAAGTTAAGTATTCTAAAATTGTTCTTGATTTGGTCAGCAAAAATATAAAACCATTAGCATGCTAAAATTATAACATTTTTCCCACAACAGAGGAATCATTGACATTAGGATACCCTTATAACTCAAACCACTAAGTACCAGAAGTAATATTGGACATCATTATATATTGACCTAAATTATTATATCTATAGCATCCTCAGCATGAAATATATTGATTCTACACAAGGAAATACCATCTATCTGAATGATAATACCAGCATTTAAAATTTTAAGCACTAACTTTTATTTGGTTTTGATAAGAAAAAAAACATTCCTTTGTATATAACTTGTACATGGTAATTTTTTCAATATCAGTTAAAGTGTCAACGTATATTTGTTCCTCCTAACAGACGTTTTCATCTCAGAAGATATCTATATTTAATTAATATATTTTGCAAATCCTGAATAGATCCTAATAGATTGCTAACCATGTAAAGACAAAAGGAAATACAATTCAATTTCAATTGTGTCTACTGTGAAGTTGTGTTGTCTTGAATTAAAATACAATCAACAGTTGTTCAACAGTTATTCTTTTTTAACAATTTTAGGAGTGTATTGAATAACATCCTTTCAGGAAACTGACGCCAATCCTTACGTAGAATAAATATCCAATTATAATTTTAACTTATTCTCATAACAGCAATTAATCATGATTTCACAAGGGACTCTTTACAACCAACGTCACTGCAATGGCTCTGTGTTTCACTGTGGTGGCATACAAATAGTAAATAAGTATGGATTTTCTATTACTTTCCTCAACAAAGAACACTGAGCAAACATATTTTCCAAAAGCAGATGTGGTATCAGCCATAATTGGAAAAGTTTACAAAACTAGCTTTAAATTAAATAAAATCTTTGTTAAGCAAAGTAAAACAACCAAACAGATGAGAACATTGACGCAATAATTACAAAGAATTGCCAGATAATATTTCACTTTCATGCTAAAAACAGCAAAAGGTTACTACAGTACAAACATGGTGTCTGAGTTAAAATTAAACTTTTCTCCTGTTGAGTAAATCATTGTGAAAACCTGGTGATTCCTTGTGTAATTAATAACACCCTAATCATAACCCTGTCATAGATTACCTATTGAATATAGAGAGATATTTTGGAGTGAATCGTCCACAATCACTAGTATTCACAGTGAAAATTCACCAACATCACTTACAACAGTGATTTTATCTTGTCCTTCTTGAGAACCATAAAAGGGAAGGGAGGGCTGGGTATATACACAGACAAACAGGGAATAAAATGACAGTTTCATGATTGATGAATAAAATTTTACAATAAATAGCTTTACAAGTTGCTTTTTTACCAATTTGCAACAAAACAGCGAAAAATCAGCATCAAGTAGGAATACAAGTGAAATAAAAATTGTTGCACGAAAATAACTCTTTACCACCTGCTTAACTGCATAAGCAGCTGAAACTCAGTAGGAATCCTTATAACTCAAATTGAACTTTCAAACTTTTTGAGAGATGATGCCATCTATCCCATTGTGAATTTCCCATTTTTAGGTAGCAAAATTTCATCCACACTTCCATATTAAGTGCACATCGACTTAAATGGTACAACAGAGTTTGCATTCCTTATCACAATTTTCTTGCATAATGCAGTTTCTGAACAAAGGGTTCGTAAAGTTCAAGTTGAAAACATCTCTCAATTTTTATCAAATGCTAGAAAGTCTAATTTAGGGAGTATTGTGTGGTACTTTTTCCTCTTATTTTTGATCTTTGTGATGTCTGTTCTTTTTGACCTTGTGATTCTTTTTATTCCCACCTCAATCCCCATGATAGTTCCTTATTATAAAAATTTTGATGAAATTTCAAACATTTAAAAAGCTTAATAAACAAGTTTAAATCTATTTGCCTATCTCAAGTGTAAAAAGGTTACACCATATGGTTGCAGTGTAAAAATCTATGATTCTTTGCAGTAAGCTACTTTATTAGTTTGTGTATTTCAGTAATGGCCCTGAGACAAGTTGTTTTGCTACAAGAGACCAATTATGGACAAAAACTGCCAACCAATTTTTCTCCATTGATTTGAAAACTGCAATTACTGCTAATCAATAGAGACAGAAGCTTAAAACCAGCCTAGCTAACAGATACAAATTGTTTACTAGTGCTCCATCCATCTATGTATTCATATATCATCAGAATTTTGACATCAACAAGACCATACATTCAATCTTGCATTAAGACAAACAAAATCAGAGCTGAACATTATTAATATCAAGATCAATAAATTTGTTAAATTTTACATCATTGATGAATGGTATCAGACAATTCAAAACTTTAAATATTGAAAAATTGAAACCAATTATTTATTAAATCAATTGCCAGCACAGTAAAATCAATCGGAACTAAAATAGGATATAGTGGGAAGCTCTTTTCAAATATTGTATTTTAGTTGCATTGGTATGTATAATTGCTGCACTGAAAACATGTCCTGCATGTCCTAAAACTATGTTAAAACTTAAAGAAAACTAAAACTTTTAAACGATATATACCTCCTCAAAGCATGAAAAAAAATCAAGAGTTATTGAACTAAAATCCTCTTATATTTGAAAATGGTAAAAACTTTTCATTCATAAAGTACTCGAACTACAAACTAACAAAACTAATTCTAAATCAAAAGGAACCATAGTTTCATGAATTCTCAGACTGTCTACATTTTTTCAATAGCCATTGTTGGAGGGGTAAATTCAGTAAAAAATCTCCCATTGACTGTAATGCTAATCTATGTCTTGAATTAAATTTATACCTGATTTACCTTTAGAAATTAGAAAATTTCATACATCAATCATGAAAGTACAAATGTAGCCCTATCATATGCAACAATAAAAACATAGGGTCATGCGGCATTTTTGGGCATTCACATGGCCTTGTTTACAAACACTGTAGATTCGCACTTAATTCCTTCACTGACCCCCATTACTTTTCAACCCTGTAGTAAAAAAATTTAGTACATTCAGCATTTATTTTTTATTTTTTTTCAACTCTAGTTTTTATCCATCTATCAAAAAATATTTATTACAAACATTATCTACCAATCAGAAGAGCACATGACTTCAGTTTTATACAGAAAGCTCTCCCCCAAATGGGCGGTCCCTGATGACGTATATTTATTTACTGAATTTACCCCTGGACATGGAAGAGGAGTTCATTTTTTCTGGGTGAACAAAGTCCTATAACTCTGATGCATCAAGGTGAAAACAGTAAAAAAAAAGTTGGATTTTTGGAGATAACTTTAATAGATCTTACAATTAAATGAATTTCTTGAGAAAGTTTGAACAAACCTCATACAACAACACATTCTTTTCAATAATAAAAAACGGATTTTCTGTGTTTTGAAAGCTATATAAAAAAGACAATTTTTTCTAAAATGACAGAGCGCAAGATGTGTTAACTGTAGATCCATTACGGGTAATGATTATTCACCAATACAGAACTTATTTAAAAGCCTGAAAAGACCTGCTAGACATATCATCTCTTTATTTCATTACATGCAACATTGCAATATATATTTTAGCAACTCATCAAGAAGACATTAACAATTGTGATAGACAGTCTAAAAGATTCTTCAGGAAATCTTTTCAAATTGTCAGTTTTATCCCTTTTTCCATTTGTAACTGTCAGAAAGCAACGAGTTTCCACACCTTTTTCATTTCCAACCTCAACACATTATAATTAATTATTTATACTTTAACAGATACTAAATGGTAATATGCTATTAGATACCTTGCCTTTACAACTAAAAAGTCAAAGAGAGACATAATTTTGTATTTTTACGTCTTCCCAATCGTAGCAACAATTGTATTTCAGCTACAGACACATAAAGTTTCATTAAAAGTTATCAATACAAACAAAGAACTAATGTAATAAATGTGAAATAACATTTTACTGGCATGAACCACAAATTAAATTAAGTTTATTAATGGTCAATACAATAGAATCTGACATATTGATAAAGTAAAATAATCCTGCCGCAAGCACAAGAAAGATTTGACGCAAACACAAGCAAGATTTGACGGTCAGAGATATATTGATAACGTAAAATACTTAAGCCTCTAGCGCATGAAAGGTTTGACATTTCAGAGATATCTATATTTGTATTTTTTCCAAAGATTAAAAAGCCACATCCATAAGACTTAATTTCCCAGTGGTTTCGATGGATCTTTTTATGTATGGAGTTGATTTATTGAAACTAATGCCAAAAGCTAGAAATTAACTTTTTAGTGATTACTTTTTGCCATTTTGGTATGAATTTTTGTTTTTTGTATTAAACAAAAAATGTCATTCCCTGAGGAGCTTCATTAATAAGTAATAAAAATGTAACAGGAAAAAGAACCCCTAGCAATCTACAGAATTCAGCTTTTTCGTTTAGAACTTGTTTCAACTCTATAAAAAATTTCTACTAAACAAAGATATCCTTTAGTCTTATGTAAATTGCTGATAATCATATCATTACAAGCATGAACTACATGTATTTTAAATAGTTATCTTGGCTTTTAAGGTATGGCATCATTTCAGCTTTTGTCTACAATACCTTGAAGTGGTCCATTAAAAAAATACACAAGGCATTCTCAGCCTTTGGTAATCATGTACATGTTTCGTATGCATTCATACAAGAGTCTTTCTAATTACATGTGTACTATCAGCTTTCTTCTTTCTGCTTTCAGGTACAGCTCCACTGTGGATTTTTGTGCTGGGACAGTATTTTCAGAGTAATCAGGGAATCAGAATTATTCCAATATATAATTTTGAAATATGGCTGGCATCTATATTTTTTGCCTACACCGCTGGATTGGTTATAAACCGGTTTAAACCAGTTGTAGCAGATGCATTAATGACATGGATAATAAAGCCATTCTTACTGCTTGCAACTATTCTATATATTACACTAGGAGTTTACATCAATATGTATGTCTTTGATCCCGTGGACGGTTGGGCCTTTTTCGCAGCACTTCTGCTTCCACTGTGTGGATTTATCATGGCGTATGTTCTAGGCATCATATTCAGGCAAAAAACATCATTTTGTCAATCACTTGCATTGGAAACATCTAGTTTAAACTGCCTTATTGTACTGGCAGCTATAAGATTTACGCTTCAGAAACCAGCGGCAGACTTAGCATCAACTATTCCAATATGGACAATGTTTACTATACCAGGACTGTATGTAGTTTTGTCAATTCTAAATTATATCAAATGTAGTTTATGTAGTTTTTGTAAGAGCCGAAAAGAAGAAAAATTTAGACATTTTAGTATTGCATCTGGAATAGTGAATCAGGCAAATATGGCTGCTCTTTCAGCGCCATTGTTTGTGACAGAAGTTACCGATGATGAACAGGCATCAATGAGTGAAAAAATAACTGTTTTGTAGCATTTAGAACTCAGTGATGGAGAGTTCATTCCCGTGGTTTGTTGCCACTAATGCCATAAAAACTGACCATGTTTTTATTCCTTCCTATCATGTTTTCTGTGATTTTTACCAAATAAAACATTGTTTCTTACTTGACTTGTTCCAAGTACAATAGTGATAGTTATCTGCCAATATCTGGTACTATTTGTATAGTTTTACTCAACATAGTAAAGAAAGGTTAAAATTATTTTTCTTGTTTTATATCTGCAATGAATGGAAGATTAACATGCTATATTAATTTCCATCACTATACAGTGTAATATTTATATAGAACATGTATCTGATTGACTGACTGTTGCTTGCATAAACTCGAGGGCAATTATTGCTTTATATCATCTGTATATATAGTATAATCATCTGGTACAGAGGAAGCTACTGGCACAAATGCATTGTGTTGCCTAGACACATATTTTGGATGAATTCTTATGGTATAGGAATAAAAAAACAATTATCTATCTAATAACCTGAGAACACTTCTTAATCCTTGAAAATTTTCAAAAAGAAGCTGTTTCCAAGTATTTCTGTACAATTCCATGTATATAATTCTGGTACTGATGGCCGTCTTGGATTTTACATTAGAAGCAAAACAAAACCTTAAATTTACAATTGTTATGTTACCATTCTTGCTAAATATGCTAGAATTGGGTGCAATCTGACCAAAAAAAGTTTCAAAAATGGACACTTAAGATATGTTGCAGCAAGGAGTCTCCAGGAAGAATCATTTTAGGTTCATATGTTTTACAAAACTTCTTGTCAAAATAACTCCAATTTTACTGAATAGTTTGATGTTAAAGTACAAAAAGGACAATAAACAAACCACATGCATTGATTGAGCTGTACATTAATAACTAAATGGAGATGTTGGTAGATCATATCAATGAGACAGGGACCCAAAAACACAACTAATACATAAGCTACATCTCTGTATCTGTTGTGCTTAAACTAGACCCATGGGAATAACAAAATCCATCATATTCTCTATCATATAAATCCACTCAAAACTTGCTCTTTCCTTACTTTCCAAAAAGCTTCAGCTCTCTTTTTCATTTCCCATTATCAGGCATGAGTTTGTAAGCCTTGTCCTCCCAGTAATACAAATGTGGCTGATTGACTTGCTTTTATGTATTACTTTTTTTTCCTTTTCCCATAGTTGATAAGCCTTGACCTCTCAATAATGTAAATAGGGCTGCTGTTATTACTTAAATGTACTAACTCTTTTCTTTTTCCCATGGTTAATAAGTCTTCGCCTCATTCCCATTCATGTTAATGTTGCTGCTGTTTTTACTAATGTATTTCCATTTCATTTTAATATCATGTTTGATCATGTTAAGTATGAAAAGCTCTAAGATTAATTTGAGCAGAGGAATATGAGATAGGACACAATTTTGATTGGAATCCATAGCTCATGTAGATTGATTGATTGATTATTGCTTAATGGTACATAAGCTCAAAACCACTGTTACAAGAGCCAAGTTGATTTAGGGAGAGGTCATAAATATCAAGACAGACTGGTGCATTGGATGGGTGCCTTAAACCTTTGATCACATAATTTTTTATTTTCAGTTTTTATATTTTTACATGATCTCCCAATCTGAGCTCAATTCAAGCTTACAAACATTGGTCTGTTAACAACAAACTGGCCCTATTTGAAAGGGTGATTTTTTTTTTTAATTGTAATAAAAGGTAAAAAAAACATGAGTGCACCAGGCACACACTGAATTTACTGACCATGACTAAATTTCATTATGAAAGTCCAAGTCTACAGAATAAGATCAAGTTTTAAAGTACAGATATCACATAAACTTTACATTATCAAGATAAATCAAAATAAGTTCAAGGTAAGATCTGCTAGAGGGATGTGTACACCTTATAATCATTTGGTACATCTAATATTGTTGATCTATTGCTTACAGAAACTGAGAAACAGACCTAACCATAGAAACTTAGGATTGACAATTGAAGCATTAAAATGAGGTCAAGGTCAGATGAGGGCTGCCTTACATACATTCATGTATACATCATACAACCATTCTTACATCAAATATAGTTGACCTGCTCCATGTAGTATCTTAGAAACAAATCTATTCAGGAAAACTTAATATTGACCAAAGAACCATTAAAATGAGGTCAAGGTCACATGAAGCCTGCACATGAGACTGTACATCTTACAATCATTTCATATAACAACCATTGTTGACCCATTGCTTAAAGTATCTTATAACTGACCTAATCATAAACATTTGATGTTGACCATCCAATGAACCATAATGTTTGAGGTCAAGGTAAGATGAACCATTCAAGACAAATATACCTCTTTCAATCATTCAATATATCAAACTGCTGATAGTATATGAGAAACCAACCAAATCATGAATACTTGACATTGACCAATAAAAGGTGAAATGAGGTAATTATAAAGGTCAGGTAAACACTGTCTGCTGCAACAATTCTATATACTAAATATAGTTGTCCTGTTACGCAAAATAACTTAAAATAAAATGCTTCTCAGGGAGCAGCTTGATACAACCGCAGAGGTCCAACCCTGATCAGTTGGGGCAAGTATGGACACTATATATAGCTACATTCAAGCTTGTTACGGCTCTGAATTTGGATTGTGATTAAATATTTGACACAGCATAGGTTTCTGACACAGAATGAATGTGGTCTAAGAACTGAAAAATTTGAAATTGGACATTTACCTATTATTGTCCAATATCCAAAATCGAAATACATAGTAAGATTAAGCATATCAAAGAACCCTAAAATTTCAATTTTTGATGCAATCATAAAAAGTTTAATTTTGGACCCTTGAAACCTCAATTTGGATCAATTTGATAATGGGGCCAAAAAACAAAATCTAAATACACGGTTAGATTCAGCATATCAAAGAACCCATATATTTAATTTTTGTTGAAATCAAAAACAAAGTTTAATTTTGAATGATTTGGACCAACTTGAAAATCAGGCTCAAAATCCAAAATCTAAATATACCGTCAGATTCAGCATATCGATGAACCCCAAAAATTTGTTTTTTGATTAAATCATACAAAGTTTAATTTTGACCTCAATGTGGTCAAAATCCAAAATCTAAATGCACTGTTAGATTCAGCATATTAATTTATAATAAAATGCTCCGCAGGGCGCAGCTTGATACGACCGCAGAGGTCGAACCCTGAACAGTTGGGGCAAGTATGGACACAACATTCAAGCTTGATACAGCTTTGCATTTGGATTGTGATTAAATATTTGACACAGCATAGGTTTCTGACACAGAATGAATGTGGTCTAAGAACTTAAAAATTTTTAATTGGACATTCACCTATTATGGTCCAATATCCTAAATCTAAATACATGGTTAGATTCAGCATATCAAAGAACCCAAATATTCAATTTTTGTTGAAATCAAACAAAGTTTAATTTTGGACCCCGATTTGGACCAACTTGAAAACTGGGACCATAATCAAAAATCTAAATACATGTTTAGATTCAGCATATCAAAGAACCCTAAGAATTCAATTATTGTTAAAATCAAACTAAGTTTAATTTTGGACCCTTTGGACCTTAATGTAGACCAATTTGAAAATGGAACCAAAAATTAAGAATCTAAATACACGGTTAGATTCGGCATATCAAAGAACCCCAATATTCAATTTTTGATGAAATCAAACAAAGTTTAATTTTGGACCCTTTGGACCTCAATGTGGACCAATTTAAAAACGATGCCCAAAATCCAAAAACTAAATACACGGTTAGATTCAGCATATTAAAGAACCCCAAGAATTCAAGAATAAAACCCCATTGAAATTGGTCAAGAAATAAGCAATTTATACGAAGTATCTTCTTTTGCACAATACTGTGCAATTAAATATTTCTTGCTATTGCGCAATACTGTACAATTGACAATTTCTTGCTATTGCGCAATATTGTGCTATTGGATATTTCTTGCTATTGCGCAATACTGTGCAATTGAAGATTTCTTGCTATTGCGCAATACTGTGCAATTGAAGATTTCTTGCTATTGTGCAATACTGTGCAATTGAAGATTTCTTGCTATTGCACAATACTTATTATATAATAATTTACACATCCTGCTTGGTGTGTATCTCCTACCATATCATTATTATTTGATTTTAAATATAAATCAGAAATAACCAACTTAAAATGGAAAATTTTAAAAGAAAAAAAAAATCCCCCCCAAATTTTTTAAACCCCCTTATGATTCATCACCCCCAAACTCAATCCCAGCCTTCCCTTTGTGGTATGGTACCTTGCAGTACAATTTCAGAGAGATCCATACACTTGAACACAAGTTATTGTCTGGAAACTAGAAAAATGTGTTTTTTGGCCCCTTTTTGGCCCCAAATTCCTAAACGTTTAGGGCAATTACCCCCAAACTCAAACCCAGCTTTCCCTTTGTGATATGGAACCTTGTAGTACAATTTCAAAAAGATCCATACACTTACACACAAGTTATTGTCCTGAAACTAGAAAAATGCTTGTTTTTTGCCCCTTTTTGGCCCCTAATTCCTAAAATATTGAGGCAATTACCCCATCATCAATCCCAGCCTTCCCTTTGTGGTATGGTACCTTGCAGTACAATTTCAGAGAGATCCATACACTTGAACACAAGTTATTGTCTGGAAACTAGAAAAATGCCTATTTTTGGCCCCTTTTTGGCCCCCAATTCCTACACGTTTCGGCAATTACCCCCAAACTCAATTCCAGCTTTCCCTTTGTGATATGGAACCTTGTAGTACAATTTCAGAAAGATCCATACACTTACACACAAGTTATTGTCATGAAACTAGAAAAATGCTTGTTTTTTGCCCCCTAATTCCTAAAATTTGGAGGCAATTACTCCCAAAATCAATCCCAGCATTCCTTTTGTGATATGGAACCTTGTGGTACAATGTCAGAGAGATCCATACACTAACACACAAGTTATGTCTGGAAGTTACAAAAATGCTTATTTTTGGCCCCTTTTTGGCCCCTAATTCCTTTACTGTTGGTACCATAACCCCCAAAATCAATCCCAACCTTCCTTTTGTGGTATTGAACCTTATGGTAAAATTTCATAGAGATCCATTCCCTTAAACTAAAGTTAGAGTGCGAAAACCAATGTGTCTTCGGACAACGCCAGACGACGACGACGACGCCAACGTCATACCAATATACGACCACAAAAAT